TTTTCTTCTATCGGTTGTGATTCTTTTAATGATGACTTTTCAACAGATTTGGATGGTTTAGAAGGTTTTTTTATAAGAGGTTTAGAAGGTTTCTTTTCATTTGATTGAGGTGTTTCATCACACATTTGTTGTATTTTCAATAATTGTAAATATATAGGATCAGAAATAGTTTTTTTACCTTTCTTTGGTTTAGTAATAGGTTTTGTTAGAGGGGCTTTATTAATTTTAATAGGCTGTAATGAAGTTTTTTTTGTAGAAGAAGATAAAGGTCTATTACTCATGAACGAAGAAGTGAAATTAAGAATTATTTGATTAAAGAGAAAAAGAAAAGATTTTAAAAAAGAAAAAACGGTTTGAAGGAAAAGTCTCTTTTTAGAAAGAAAAGTTTTTAAATACCCTTTTTTTTTCAATATTTAGAACAGAACAAGAGTTTGGTTTTTAGTTTAATTAATTTTTAGTTTAGTTTCTTAAGAAAACAACTTGCTAATTCATTTCATCATGCTTAGTGTCATAGATAAGTATATTGGTAAACTCCTTGAAACGCCAAGTGAAGAACAAAGAACAATTGTACAAGAATTAAGTAATACAAGATCAGAAACTAAACGAGCAATTTATCTTGGGATGTTAAAGAATATATTAGAATTATTAAATGTAAGGAATAAAGGATATTCTATTGTATTTATGAATCAATTAACAACTGACCTTCAACGATCAGAAATATATCAAACAATGCCAGTTTCTAAAAGTGAAATATTGTTATTAGTTTGTTTTATTAATATATTTAAAAAAAAAAGGTCATATAAAACAAATAATAAATAATAGACAAATATTGTTAATGATATTGGATATCGTTTTAATTCAGAAGAAAGTTTAGAAAAAGTAGTTAAAGCACAAAGTATAATTCGAGGATTTTTATATCATAAAAGATATTTAACATATAAAGCATTTAGTGCAACAAAGTTTCAACAATATAATTCATCATTTTTAAATTTACATGAAAAACAAATTCATTATGTAGAAAATATAGAGACATTAATATATTATTTAGATGAATTAAGAGCACAAGGAAAATTTAAAATTTTAGGAGAATATCCATATAAAAATTATTATAATTCACTTACATCAATTCTTAATTTAGAAACACAATTTAAAAATGGATTAAATGATATTTATGGAACATTTCCTAAAGTTTCTGGAGTTGGAGAAGTTGTAAAAAAATATTGTGAAGGAGTTTTAGAAGCATATAAAGAAATTAATTTACAAGGAGCAGTTGTTATGGCTACAGTATTTTATGAAAAAGAAAATCCATATTTTAAAGAAGTATATGAAACATTATCAAAAGGACAAACATATGCATTTAGATATCTTCTTCAAAGTTTTCCAAGAATCCAACATTTTAGTAATTTAATAAAATTACTTACAATAATGAAAGAAGCTGTAGAAAAATTACCAGAATATAAAGAAGAAATAGAACCATTAGAAGAAGCATTAAAAGAATTAAATAATATTAATATAACACTTCATGATACTATTAAAAGTGAACAAATGAATAATAAAGAAATAACAATTAAAAGTAATGAAACAACTGAATTTTCATCACTTTTACTTAAAATTAAAAAAGAATTTACTAAAACACCATCAGTAGTTGAAGTTTATTTAAAATTAGGAAAGGAAATAGGTAATATTGAAGAAAAAAGATTTTTAAAAGAAACAAGAGTTACAGTAGAAATATTACCAAATATTGATAATTATCCACCTAATCTTAAAACAAATACTCAATCAGTTAGTTTTGGTTCTTCAAATCATCTTACAGAAAAAAAACATTCAACTTCTTTAAGACCTAAATTACAAAAAAGAACAAATAGACAAAAAGAAGAAGCAAAATTAAAAGCAAGTGGTGAACTTATGAAAGATATTGAAGTATTAAAAAATAATGATTTAGAAACTATTAAATTTGAAGCTACACTTTTTATTATGAATGATATTATTTATGTAAGTAAAATGGATTCTTCAGAAAAATATCATATTTTAACTGAAATACCATTAACTGGAAATGGATTTAGTGTAAGTAATTGTATTGGAAATAAATTTAATATTGGATCAAAAGTTTTTGATTTTACTACATCATTTATTATACCAAATGAAGATGATGCACGTAATTTATTCTTGTTATTAAGAGAAGTATTCTTTGTTCATTCTCCACCTAAATTATTTGGTGGATCATTAGAAGATATTTTAGAAAGAGAAGGTAATACAACAGGTGTTCCATTATGTATTAAAGCATTAGGTGAATATTTAATGAATCCAAATAATTTACAAACAGAAGGAATTTTTAGAAAGAATGGAGCGTCTAATAAAGTTAGTAGATTAGCACATGTATTAGATCAAATGCCTGATCATTTTAATTCATTTAATGAATATGCAGTTCATGATATAGCAGCAACATTTAAGAAATTCTTTATGGATATGTCAGAACCATTATTTTCACCAGAAGTTGTTGATTTATTTATTAAAATTGTTAAAGATTCTCCTGATGAAAAAGATGAAATTAAAAAAGTTATGAAAGAACATATGAAACCAATGTATTTTAAATTGGCTGATTTCCTTATTCATGTTATTAAGAAAACTGTTGAAAATGAAAATGTTACATTAATGAATGTTCATGCTATGAGTGTTTGTATTGGACCAGCAATTATTCGATCAACAAATGAAATAGTTGTTCAACCAAATTCAAAGAATAATGATGTAGAAGGAGCAGTAACAAAAGTAACAAGATGCAATGAAATATTAGCAGAAATTATTTCTGATTGTGATTTCTTCTTTCAATAATTTAAATTAATTAATTGGTTTTTATCTTAATATAAAAACCAATTGAAATAATGAAAAATAAAACATAAAAATTTATTCTTTTTTTTAATTCATCTTCTTTTTCACATCAAATTTAAACAATCTTCAAGTTCTGGTATCATGACTACATGTTGAGAAATATTCCCTAATCGATATACTGACTTCTTTGGTAATGAAACTACTGTTGCTTCTTCTAAAAAATGTGGTTTTGTTCCTTTTGTTAATTTATAAGTAATTCCTCCAATTCTCATCGTTGCAATTCCACTCTTTCTAAATTGAATAGTTCCAATATATCCTGACATTCCTTTTAATGGATTTTCAACTAATTTGATATTACTTTCCTCATGAATTTTATCTTCTTTATCTTCTTCTTTCTTTTCAACATTATTATTTTCATTTTCTATTTCTACTCCTTTTTGAATAGGTAAAACTGATGGTATTTGCATCATAATATATTCATCATATAAAATTCCACTTTCACTATGTAATGGATTATTAATAAATGTTGGATTTTCTTCAATTGTTTCAAGTGGTGTATAATATGTTTTTTCTTTGTCTAAAACTGGTTCACTTATTTCTTCTTTTTCCCCATTTATTTCTTCTTCTGGATCTCTTAATGGAAGTGTAATTGGATGGTTTGGATTACAAGGATCAAAATCTAATTCAGGGTTTAATAATAATTCTTTCTTTTTGTCTTTTTTATTCTCTTCTTTCATTCCAATATCTTCTCCGGCTGTCATTGTTAAATTACTTATTCCTAATCCACCAATTCCATGTGCAACTGGTCGTGGTTTGAATACTCGTGGAGTTGGTGTAATTGTTGTTTTCTTAATTTTTGGTTGTTCTTTTTTAACTTTCAATTTTGTTCGTCCTTCATTCCCATTATTTACTTCAGGCTTAAATCCTGCTGCTCGAATATTCGGTGCAAATTGAATTTTTGGTTGTGAAGGTTGTATACCACGAATAGAAGTTAGTCTTGAATTGGCTGTATTTTGAGAGTTTTGTGATAATAATTGGGAAAGAGGAATGTTTTGATGAGGTTCACTCATTGTTTTCTTTGTATTAAAAGTACTTTTTGTTTTTTACTTCAAATTTTTAGTATTTATTATTATTTATTATTATTTATTATATTTTAT